CTCAAAACAAAGCACAAAGAATAAAATAACACAGATTATCATGCATAATGCATTTAAATGAAGAGTTTAAGCCCCAAGGGGGAATGGTAGCTATAAATAAGGTGGTTCTCACTGCATCTCCCACTTCAAATTCGATTGAGCGCCCAGGAAGATAGTGGCGGCTTTTCTAAGGATCCACCACGAATTTTCAAGCTATAGAATAACGTTAAGGAGTATAGTATAATGGCCGAGCAACCGCAGATGCCAATGGCACCGGTTGGTGAACAACAACCTGAAGGAGAACCTGTACATGCTCAACCGGTTCAGAATGAAGGCGAAGCAGTTGAGAATCTCGAGGTATACTTTACATTTTTATTCTTTATATATATACATGTATATAGTTAAAAGGGCATATCCAAGGCGCATGGGTGCGGCTTGACTGAACACATGTTTTTAATCCGGTTCAATTCAATAAAATCCTTGAACAGTATTTCTACTCAACTAAATTAAGTTGTTATAATAACTTGTAGGTACACCACGTAAGTATTAAATACTGCAAAGCTTTCGGTCCGTTAACCCGGACCTTCAATACTTACGTGGTGTACCTTTAATACTTACGTGGTGTACCTTTAATACTTACATGGTGTACCTTTAATACTTACGTGGTGTACCTTTAATACTTACGTGGTGTACCTTTAATACTTACGTGGTGTACCTTTAATACTTACGTGGTGTACCTTTAATACTTACGTGGTGTACCTTTAATACTTACGTGGTGTACCTTTAATACTTACGTGGTGGACCTTTAATGCTTACGTGGTGTACCTACAAGTTATTATAATTACTAAAGTCGCCATGCAATCATACAAGAAAATTATTAAATTAAGTTGGTTTTACTCGTAATGAAATGTCTTGCGTTTCACTAGCGAGGATCAGTGATCAGGTGTATTACCAATCATGATGTATGGGACTTTATGGGACTGAATTTGTACATGTAGATTGATAATTGATTGTGCATTGCATGCGTGCTTTGATATTTTATTCGTAGTGAATTTTATTCGTCTTGTTGGCAAGGGACTGCCTAATAATAACGGTCGAAGTTTATTATGAGACATTAAGCTCTGAATTAGATTTGTATATTGATGTTGCACTGAATGTGCATATTTTACTCGTAGTGAAGTTATTTTGTCCGCAAGGGACCGCCAAATGATCACTGACGAGGTTTATTATGAGACATGGAGCTCTGAATTGAATTTGTATATTGATGTTGCACTGAATGTGCATATTTTACTCGTAGTGAAGTGATTTTGTCGGCAAGGGACCGCCAAATGATCACTGACGAGGTTTATTATGAGACATTGAGCTCTGAATTGAATTTGTATATTGATGTTGCACTGGATGTGCATATTTTACTCGTAGTGAAGTGATTTTCGTCGGCAAGGGACCGCTTAATGATCACTGACGAGGTTTATTATGAGACATGGAGCTCTGAATTGAATTTGTATATTGATGTTGCACTGAATGTGCATATTTTACTCCTAGTGACGTGATTTTGTCGGCAAGGGACCACCAAATGATCACTGACGAGGTTTATTATGAGACATGGAGCTCTGAATTGAATTTGTATATTGATGTTGCACTGGATGTGCATATTTCACTCGTAGTGAAGTGATTTTTGTCGGCAAGGGACCGCTTAATGATCACAATTTGTATATTGAATGTTTCACTCTTGATTATGCACTGCACATGCAATACAGCGTATATAGTTCGCCTCATAATTATGATCATATTGTTTTTCGAATTTTGAATGCCGTCGTTTCACTTACAGGCGTTAAATAGAAAATATCTTGAATTGAATGCTAAAGTCGAAGCACTGACCACCTCGTCTGTAGACAGCTTGCTTACGAAAATGCGAAACTTGGAGTCTCGTCCGACTGCGGAATTTTCCTGTTTTGAGGCCATCGATCTTCTTGAGGCTATCAAGAATTGCGCACAAGATCACGATCATGCAAAAGCCAACTACTATAAGCTAGCTTATGAAACGTTGCAATCAAAATTGAATGGAACTTCGGATGAACAATTCCGGGCGTATATTATGCCCCTTTTAGGGGATAAGGATCACGAGAAGATACTAGACATCGTAGCCAAAGTCGAGAAACGTTCCCGCCCTTCTCAGGCAAGGAACAGAGATTCATCACGCCAACGGGCTGGAGCGTTTTATCGCCCTTTGCAATGTTATTACTGTCAACAGTGGGGACATATAAAGGCAACTTGTTTCAAGTTGCGGCGAGATCAGGGCCAACGACCTAGTCGTAATACACAGCAACAGGACACAAAGTAACCTTACTATAAGTCTGTTATACGTGATGGGTGTACTTTCCATGTTTTGCAAGTTTGACTTATTCTTTAATTTTTTCTTTTTTTGGAATTCACCTGTAATAGATACTTTGATAAGTTATTCTGATGTTATCTGTATTCACGTGTGTATGTTCTTGGCATCATTACTTGACTATACCATCTATTGAAAGATGTTTATTATAATTATGGGACCTTCATTGCAAAATTGGTATTTAAAATTGGATTTGGTTAATAAACTTTTATGTAAAGTGTGTACAAGATTGTGTGTATTTTGCTTTCTGCATGATAATGTGGAGTTTCTTTCCTCTCTGAATCCCTTCTTATATGGACTTGGGTGGGTGATGGCTGTGAAAACAGAGTACCTCAATCAGCTCTCCTAGTTATGCTGGGTCGCAGCCGTTGCCCCCCGCTGGTCCGTGGGGCCCCATATCCTATATTGTCATTTTATTCATACTCAGGGGAGTTGTCTATGCTTATTCAGACCTGTACTACTTTTAGGGATCGTCCAGGTTAGCATGGGACTGGGAGTACAACTCCTCTTTCGATCATCAGTTAGCTTCAATGCAACTTCCACCACAAGATATACGATGGGTCGATTCGATGGGTGGCCCCATATGCACCGGCGGGGGGTCAGCGGCTGTTCCACCAGAGGTTATGAAAAAAATAGTTCAGGGTGAAACTTTGCCAACAATACAAGACTTACGTTTTCGAGACCCCTCTTTCTTTCGAGCTGGGGAATTGCATAATCATATTGATGAGTGGGAGAAGCTGGTAGATGAGGTCCCAAAACCCGAACAACTCCAAGTGCTTGAATGGATACGTGGGAAAGTATCGGTTCCCAACTATTTTTGCCCATTTAAAGGTACCTTTAAACAAAGATTCTATGATTCAATTTGCCCTCCAGCGTCCCAATTTCCCAATAACCTCTCCTGTCGACCTTTTGTTGATTTTATTCGCTCGACGTTGCTGGATCGACTCCGGACTGGGGCGATATCGCTTCGAGGTCGAGTTGGTAAAACTTCTCCACCACATTTGGTCTTGCCGTTAACAGTCGAACCCACAAAACCCAGATTATGTCATGACGCGCGCTTCTTGAACTTATGGATGCGGGATGTTCCATTTAAGTTAGACAGTGTGACTCACCTCCCTCGATATGTAGGCAAAGACAACTATCAGACTGTCCTAGATGATAAATCTGGCTATGACCACATTTTGCTGACGGAAGAAAGTCGTACTTATTTTGGTATTCAGTGGGGTGGTTGGTATTTTGTGTACAACACCCTTCCCTTTGGTTGGAAAATATCGCCCTTCATTTATCACACGACTGGTCTTTTGGCTACTAACTTTTTTCGTTCTCTCGGCATACCTTGTTCTCTATATATTGATGATCGTCATAACGGTGAATTACAAATTGACTTCTCCTGTGCTGCTTATGCTCAGTTGCAAACAATTGACCAGCAGCATTTGGCGGCTGCCAATTCAGCTATCTTTATTGTGGCCTATTACCTAATCCGTCTGGGTTACTTTGTTTATTTTATATTTTGACATAGGTAATTGGAACCATATTGTAGTTCTTATATAGTTATAAGTTAATTTGTAACAATTGTCTGAATTAGACAAACTAGAGAAAAAAATAGGACGTTATGTGTATGTGGGCTAAAGGGGAACATAATGAGTAATTTGTTGAATGGTTAATTGCGAATTGAGGGGCGTAGAAATGGAAATAAAAATAACCAGATGGGGTAGTTTGGAATTTGTTGGACAACCGCCAACCATGTGGTGTGTTTGAAATAAAAAATTTTTTAAAAAAGGGTGTTTTGTTTGTTTATGATGGAGTTCTTCAAGAAACTATGTAGTTGCGTTTGTAGTAATAGGTTGTGTAGCGTTATTGGTGGTGTTTAAGTCAAGGTTATGTAAGGAGGTAGGTAGAAAAGTAAAACAGAAGACAAGAAGGCAAGCGTGCGAATCAGTATCCCCGTACGCGGCGTTTCATCCTTTTGCGGACTCGTCAGCGGGGAGCAGGGTTGGCTTTGTGTGAAGGAATAATGAAGATAAGAAGTGAGTAAAAGTGGTGTGTGTTTGTAGGAGAATCATAAAAAATCAAGGTTAAAGTTATCAAACCTGCGTGAGAGTGTATTCGTAAAAGGCAAAATGGTAAAATTAAACTGTGTGTCTTACCAAAGTTGTTGTTGACTTTAGATAAACCAACGCGGTGAGCCATCTCAGGGTTGATGTGAAATGGAGTGTAATTTTACTTAAAAATTGTTTTGAATTGCTTGACAGCAGAGCTTGTGTTCGAGCTTGTATCCGTTCAAGAGACTTGATCGAAAAGGGGTCAAGGATTGCACGTGTGTGCATAAAATGCGTTAATATGTTACGTCGCTGAGGTCACGTGTCAAAGTCTGTGTTGGGGATAGTGGGGGTTTACGTGTCAATTATGGTTGTGTGTGGACATCCGAGGTTTAAATGTGTTTTGGTTGTGAGTTGTACTTCATGTAGTATGGTTGGTTATAATTGTTGAAGTTCCGTTTTATCACCGTAGTCATGAAAATAAAAAATTAGGGTTGAAATGTTTTGGATTTTTGGCGAGGAATTACAGAATTACAGTGCAGTATCGTCATCTGTGGGTAGTAAACTACCCCGGGTCCTAAAAACTTACGTGGGTCGATGTTCGGCGATGCATCAACCGTGAGGGTTTCAATCGTGAATATAATAGGGTTATCAATTTGAGGTAGTCAAGGTTTTTAAGGTTTGTATTTTGAAGTTTTATGATAAGCTTGTAAAACGTGCATATAATTGTGAGTGTAAGGTTGTAGGTATATAGGTATCATTATTTAGTAGGTGTTTAAATTATCATCGGTAATTAGAAGTCAACGTGGACGTTGTCATGCGTTTGAATTACTATAACTATATATATATATACAGCATATGGATAGCGGATTGTACATTATATTACATAAGGATTGTTCAACGTGACTACATTATCCATGACCATGTTCATGTGGTTTGATTTGAAGTGTATTTAATCCGTGTGGTTGAACATTTAGGTTTTGTTCGGGCATCTGGTCATATTTATGGCTTAATTCTGCTAAGGACAAGTATTTTTTTAAAAAAATAATTCTATACTTATGTCCGCAGGATGCCCAGGATGCCAGATTTGATGTGACTGGTTAAGTCATGTAGTTTTGTTGTTTTCACAGGAGAGTGCCACAGGGTTTGCTTGTCATGTGTTAATTGGTTCTTGCATGTTCTCACTTGTAACCCAGTGTGTCCCAGTAAGTTCTTTGGTTTGTTATATCCACTCTGGTGTTTTCAAGGTGGTATTCAGACACAATGTCAATTGGGAGTGGTCAAAATTTTTTTGTATCTGTGTTTAGGATGGTGTGGAGGTTTTTGGCTGGTTTTGGTTAGGTTTGGGGTTGATGGAAGGCCTGGGGGATTTGGGTTATGGGATGTTATTATGTTTGGTTAGCGTTGTGTCTGGTATTAAGTTTTGCTGTGATAAGTGTGTCTCTCAGGTTAGTATTACGTTGGTAGGCTACAATTGGAGGTTCTTGCCATAGACTCCTCAGTGTGGGGTCATTCTCCAATATGTTCCAGTGTTTACGTAGGATGTTTGCAATGTATTTTGTGTTTGTGTTGTATGGAATGGAGAAAATTGGGCGGCTTGTGTTTTTTTGGCTTTGTTTCCTATTGAGTAGGTCTGTTTGGGTGTATTGTAGGGCTTTGTTGAAGTTGGTGTGATGGTGTCGTGGTCATATCCGCGATGGATCAGTGCAATCAGGAGGTGGTTTAGTCGTTGTTGTAATTTGTTGTTGTCTGTAATTATGCGTCTGTATCGTAGAGCCTGACTGTAGATGACTGCGTTCTTGCATGTGGTGGGGTGGAATGAGCTTTTGTGTAGTAGAAGGGTTTTGTCAGTTGGTTTAATGTACAGGTCTGATTCCAGTTTGTTGTTTTTGTTTTTGTAGATAGTTGTGTCAAGGAAGTTGACAGATTTCTCAGAGAAGGAAAAGTCAAATTTGATGGTAGGATGAAAATTGTTTATGTATTTAAGGAATTTTTCCAGTTTGTCAGTGCCATGTGTCCAAATTGCAAATATGTCATCTATAAATCTTATCCATTCAATAGGTATAAGATTTTCAGGAGCTTGTTGGAGGAGCTCCTGTTCAAGTGCTGCCATGAATATGTTTGCATAGGTAGGTGCCATTGGTGATCCCATAGCAGTGCCATGAATTTGTAGGAAGTGTTCGTTGTTAAAAGCAAAGGCGTTCTTCTTAAGTACAAGGGATAGGATGTCATGAACTAGTTTCCATTTCAGGGGTAATTGTGTTGATTTCTTTCAACATGTCTATACAGGCTTGGATGCCTTGATCATTAGGTATGTTGGTATAGAGACTTCTTACGTCAATAGTAATAAGTATGAACTTGTCTGGTAGTGTGTTATTCTGAGCAAATATCCGGCATAGAAAGTCTGTAGTGTCCTGGACATATGATGGTATGTGTTGTAGGAGTGGTTTGAGTAGATGGTCAGCATATTGAGAAAGCTTGACTGTTGGTCCACCACAACCGGAGATAATAGGTCGACCTGGAATGTTAGTTTTGTGTATTTTGGGTAAAAGGTATAGTTGTGGTGTCCTGGCTTGATTGTCAATTGTGAGATATTTAAATGTTGTGTTGTCAATGGCCTTAGATTTGTGGAGTTTGTGTGCTAGGGTTTTGGTTTCAGTTAGAATTTCAGGGGTCGGGTCATGTGTTAGTTTCTGGTAGTGTTTCTCATTATAAAGTTGTCTATATGCCTCAGTAAGATAATCTTCCATTGGCCATATCACAATGGCTCCTCCTTTGTCTGCTGGTTTGATTATTATATCATCATCCTTTTTTAGATCATGGATGGTTTTAAGGCTTTGTGAGGATAAGTTGGTTTTTGTAGTTTGTTTTTGTGTTCCAAATTCAATTTTGAGATCGTAGAGTACATTTGATATGTATTCTAACAGGTTGCTGTTGTCGGGGTTTGGTGCTGTGAAGTTACTGGGTAGTTTAAATGGATGTTTTTTAGTGTCCTTTCTGTTTCTGAAGAAATATTTATTGTACATGCTTTTTTTATATTTCAGAAAAGAGGCATATATGGTCTTGTATGGTGTGTGTTTGGGTGTCGGGACAAAGGTAAGGCCTTTCGACAGGGTTTTTTGTGCTTCCTGTGAGATGGGTTTGTTAGAGAGGTTAACAATAGTATTGTGTTGGGAGTTATATTTGAGTTTTTTATGTAGTTTATTTTTGCTTTTGTGTCTGTTGTTATTTGTGTTCCGTTGTGTTTTCAAATATTTTAGGATGTTTCGTTTGTTGTAATTGTTTGTATCTGTGTTGAGTTTTATCTGTTTTTTTGTTATTTGTGGTGTGTGGGTTTGTTGCGTCTTAGAAAATCCAGGATTTGTTGTTGTGTGTTGTAGTTCAAGTGAGATGGAATGTTTATGTGGGGTGCTGATTGTTGTTCATTGTTGTTTCGTTGATGGGTTCGGTGTCTGTTGTTATTAGGTTGTCGATAGTGGGTTGGTATTCGAAGTTGTGGTGTTCTTGTTACTGTTGTTGTGCTAGTACTAGTTGTTCCGGGTTTGTGGTGGTGTGGGGTGTGGGTTTGCATAAGGGGTTTTGGTTTGTGTCTGTTGGTCGGTGTGTGTGTGGGTTTGTTGGTTGGTTGGCTGGTTGTTCTGTATGGTGTCCTATGGGGTGAGGAGGTTGTTGGAGTGATTCTGGTATTTGTGTTGTTAAGTCGTTTTAGTTTTATGTTGCGATTGTGGGATGGTGCTAGACAGGCTTGTTTTGTGTATTTGGTTGCAATGGCGTCTGTTTGTTGTAGTATGTTGTTGGCAGTCGTTGTGTCACATTTGTTGTTGATTTGTGCAGATTTGTGTTGTATTTTGAACTCTGTGTTTGTTATTTCCTGTTTGTGATAGTCAATGGTTACAGTCAGTAGTTCTTGTGAGGCATTCATTAAGATGTCCTCCCATCTTTGTCGTAGGTCTTTGTTCAGGTAGTGTTTGCTTTTGTGTGTGATTTCTAGTCCAGGGGGTAGTGTCTGTGCTTTTTTGTGTTCTTCCAGTTCGTCAAGTGTGCATTTGAGTTTGGATAATTTGGTTTTCTGTGTGCTAATAATGCGGAATGTTTCCAGGAGGTGTGGTGGTATGCTGTTGGGGTTGGGAATGGATTGTGGTTGGTCATTGTGTGGTGTGGTGTTGGTTGCGATTTCGGGGTTAGTTGTGATTTGGGGTGTGTTGTTTGTCTCTGGGTTTTCGTCTTCTTTGTTTAAAAGTTTTTGTTTTTGTTTTTGTCTATGCTTATTCAGACCTGTACTACTTTTAGGGATCGTCCAGGTTAGCATGGGACTGGGAGTACAACTCCTCTTTCGATCATCAGTTAGCTTCAATGCAACTTCCACCACAAGATATACGATGGGTCGATTCGATGGGTGGCCCCATATGCACCGGCGGGGGGTCAGCGGCTGTTCCACCAGAGGTTATGAAAAAAATAGTTCAGGGTGAAACTTTGCCAACAATACAAGACTTACGTTTTCGAGACCCCTCTTTCTTTCGAGCTGGGGAATTGCATAATCATATTGATGAGTGGGAGAAGCTGGTAGATGAGGTCCCAAAACCCGAACAACTCCAAGTGCTTGAATGGATACGTGGGAAAGTATCGGTTCCCAACTATTTTTGCCCATTTAAAGGTACCTTTAAACAAAGATTCTATGATTCAATTTGCCCTCCAGCGTCCCAATTTCCCAATAACCTCTCCTGTCGACCTTTTGTTGATTTTATTCGCTCGACGTTGCTGGATCGACTCCGGACTGGGGCGATATCGCTTCGAGGTCGAGTTGGTAAAACTTCTCCACCACATTTGGTCTTGCCGTTAACAGTCGAACCCACAAAACCCAGATTATGTCATGACGCGCGCTTCTTGAACTTATGGATGCGGGATGTTCCATTTAAGTTAGACAGTGTGACTCACCTCCCTCGATATGTAGGCAAAGACAACTATCAGACTGTCCTAGATGATAAATCTGGCTATGACCACATTTTGCTGACGGAAGAAAGTCGTACTTATTTTGGTATTCAGTGGGGTGGTTGGTATTTTGTGTACAACACCCTTCCCTTTGGTTGGAAAATATCGCCCTTCATTTATCACACGACTGGTCTTTTGGCTACTAACTTTTTTCGTTCTCTCTGCATACCTTGTTCTCTATATATTGATGATCGTCATAACGGTGAATTACAAATTGACTTCTCCTGTGCTGCTTATGCTCAGTTGCAAACAATTGACCAGCAGCATTTGGCGGCTGCCAATTCAGCTATCTTTATTGTGGCCTATTACCTAATCCGTCTGGGTTACTTTCTGGGTCTATCAAAATCAATTCTAACCCCAAGGAAAATAGTCCCATATTTGGGCTTCCTCTCGGATTCGGTGGTGCAAGCATTTCATCTTATCCCGGTTAAGAAAGAAAAATTTTTACAGTTATTGCGAGCAGTTTTGGGGCGATCAAGTGTGTCCGTTAAGACCCTTCAACGCTTGGTGGGAAAATGTGTCTCCTCTCTGGCTGTCCCGGGTACCCAACTTTTTACTCGAAGAATGAATTGTGCTATCGCCAGGGGCCTGGGTAGCAGTCGCCCTGTGAAGATTGATAACAACCTTCGAGAAGAGCTGCGACATTGGTTATTTCTTGAGACGTGGGACGACCCTCTCCCATGGGGGGACGAACGCCACGTACGTGTTTCTCTCGCAACAGATGCATCAGGATCCGGTTGGGGCGCGTCAGTTCAGTTAGCTGAGACCATCACTACGTCTGATTATTGGAATGAGGAGGAAAGGGGTTATGATATTGCTACCAAGGAAGCAGCCACGCTAGATAAAACCTTATTATCATTTGCCGACGAATTGAAAAATACTTGGGTCGTTGCACAAATGGATAATATGGCTGTTGTACACGCGTGGCCGACTGGTTCCAAAAGTATATCATTGAATACGATGCTGAAGAAGTTGTTTTTTACCACAGTTGAACTTAATATCTCCCTACATTTGACCTACGTTGCCTCGTGTGACAATTTAGCAGATGCCCCTTCTCGGTGCCTTTCCATTCTTGACAGCAAATTGCACCCCAATATATGGAAGATTGTTCAGGATCATTTCGCTGGTTCGAATGGCCACACTTGCAATTTAATGGCTTTGGACTCAAACGCCATGGTCGATCTTAGTGGTGTTATCTTGCCTCATTTTACTCCGTTCCCTACCCCAGGATCAGCTGGTGTTAATCTTTTTGCTCAAGATCTCTCGCAGGATGTTGCCTTTTTGGAGCGACATCACTCCACTCCTGCTGGTGGGACCATTGCTGCGGTTTCTCCAGAGTGCACGACGCAACTGTACCTTGGTTTCCTTAATTCCCTATCCTAAAAAATATTGGTGGCCTTTAGTCCAAAAGTATACCTCAAGATCGTTAAGGCTGGCAGAGAGGGATGATCAGACCGCTTTGTTGATTCCTTCAAAAAATGGTTGGGTCCCTCACTCGGGACTTCATGGCGAATTATGGGCCTTCTCACTGGATTTTTCCTACGATGTCTACTTTTAGAACATGATGTAAATAATGTTGTGTGACTTCCCTTTGCAGGACCTTTCTACTGTTGCGAAGCTCTTTGTTCCCTCAGTGAGATGTCCATCGTGTAACTACGCTAACGACGTTACCTTTCGTTTTTGCCAAGGCGAAAACTAATTGCCCCCCCTGAATTACCACCCATAGAACCTCAAGTTCTGATGGACATTGATGCACGGCTCAGACAGTTGACTTTATTTTCACAAGCCACCAGTTATTCCAAGCAAAAAGGATCGTTACAGAAAGAACTCGAACAGTTTTTGGGTACTCTCCCCGGTTCGCCAACCTTAGTCACTGTCACCCCTCAAGATATTTGTCGATTTCTCGTATTTAAAGATGGGAATGGGAAAACACAAGTTCACAAAAACGGATGTAATTTCCTTGGCCAGAAAGGCCTGCAAGCCTGTGGCTGTCTGGTGCGGCTTTCCCATAAGACGGTGGACTCTTACATTGGCAAACTGAGATCTATCTTCAATTTCATTGGAAGAGTTGGTGAATGGGATCGGCAGCTTGGTCTGGGCAATCCTGCTGTGGATAAGTCGGTTAAGGAATATTTACGAGTGTTTACCATGGAACAGTTACAAGCTCGTGTGCAGCCGAAGCAAGCGAGTCTGTTTTTTATCGATAAACTGGATCGCCTTGTTGGTCATATTAACGAAAGCATGAAATCTCCTAACCTTACGCCAACACAATGCTTTATTCTAGTGCGGGATCAAGCATATTTCAAGGCGGTTTTCTTTAGTGGGGACAGACCGGGTGACATGGGTCAAGTCAAGGTGCCAGAGATACTCTGATTTCCTAACAATGACGGGTTTTTACTCAACCATCTCTGGGGTAAAACGCTCCGAGATGGCAGCTCTAATATGTTTGGTATAAAACGTAATCCTCAAGCTAGCATTTGCCCGGTACGTGGTATTGAGCAGTATATGGCGACAGCAGAACATCTTGAGATCAATTTGAGGGATGGATACCTATTTCGACCAACAAATCCCCAAGGTGCTATAGTTAATACACCATTCAGCTCATCCGCCGCTGAAGCTAGACTAAAAACATATTTAAACGAAATGCGAAGTAATGATGGTGAGACGCTGCATGGCTTCCGCGCTGGGTGTGCAATCACACTTGCTCTCTCCGGCGTCGAGCTGTCTGAAGTGATGGACCACGTGGGGTGGACACAACGTCATACCGCCCTTTATTATCTTCAATTGGCGAAAGTTCTCAACCCTGGAGGGGCGTCGGCTCGCTTGGCCCAGGTGGACTTAGCAGAAGTCACAAAGGATTGGAATGATGTCAACGAACTTAGACAGTTTGTATCTGCTTTCCCGAGTGCACTCTCGAGTAAGCGCCCTTGTAATGCGTGACATGTACTGAAGTTTTTTTTTTTTTGGAAGTCAGATTGGGGTTAAGGTATGGGATTGAGGTTGGGAACTTAGTTATGGAATTAAGGACAGGGGAGGGGATATTGAAGTATATGTTTGGGGATTCGATTTTGGGTGTGATTTTGTTGTAGACTATAAGCAGTTTTGGACTACAACATGATGGTCCTGGAGCGTTGAGATCAATGTTCCCATACTTAAAACAAAAGGAGTGCAAGTGAGAGCATTGGAAATAGAATACTATTCACAATGCTCAAAACAAAGCACGAAGAACAAAATAA